GAGGTGATGTTCCCACCAGGTACACGAGGGCGAGCCAGGGGTCTGCCCTACACCATGGATGCCTTCATGCTGGGGATGGGCATGCTGAGTGAGTCACACACACATCCACTCACACGATAGCACACACACACACATCTGACAAGCGATGCATATACGTCCCTTTATATAGCGTATTCATTTGAAATCCGCAGAAAAGGTCAGAAATATTTAACCTCTAAAATCTATTCGTTCTTTGTATTATGTTAAATATAACTGGCAAAAAAACCAACATCAAATGTAAGTAGGGTTTTCTTTGCATGACAACAATTCCTACCATTAAAAAAAAAATCGAACTCTCGCCTAGATAGCCCCATTAGGTGGGCACTGCCCCTAATTAGGCTGCTTCAAGGTGTGCCACCGGTGGCCACTGCGGTCTATTTCTGGTGGAGTCTGGTACAGGCAGCCCCCGGGCATATAGGAGCAGACCAGCACATTAGCAGGCTAAATGAAGAGGAAAATTGGTGTAATGTCATATTAAGGATTCATCACTGTGCCCCCCTTAATGGGTAATGAAGGGGACACACATGTCAGGGAGAGATCTCATCTACAGGGACCTCAGCTGCTGGCCCACCCCTCATCATTACCATCCAGCCCATGCCCGTGGCCCTTTTTATTTAACACTCTTGCACTCTCTCCACCCCCTCCCTCCCTCCCTCCCTCCCTCCCCACCCGCCCCCTGTCTACTACCTATCTGCCTATCTGTCTGTCTTTCTGTCCGTCTTTCGATCTCCCCGTCTGTCCGTTCACATTTCCTATGCATATAATTTGTATGTGTGACCCAACCAAATGGATTTGCCCTCGCATGAAAGATTTATTTTTCTTCCCCCTTCAAAAGCAAAAGAGACATGCAGCTGATTGTAAGAGACTCGTTTTGCCGTGCAAGTGCTCCCCCCCCCCCCCCCGCCTCCACCCCTCGTAGCAGGTGCAGGCAGAACCACAGTCATGCATTTTTATCTGAACCAGGAAACGTAATGCTCGAAGTGGCTTTGAAGGTCAATGGCAAGTCATACTTTGGCGCTACTTGTTTTGCATTTACTTTTTAGAAGATTGACGGGAACCAGTCGCATATAATATTTGAGTTTCACGATCATTTGTTTTTAAAGAAGGAAAAGGCAGCAAACAAATTTCCGATAGTACCTGAATATCTTTTCATCCATTTGTCTTTGTCTCCAAGTCTTTGTCCGTACAGTCACATCCACTGTCGGGGTTATTCCAGGGCCGAACTTTGCGTGAGGCTGATTATACAGTCGTTTGTGGTCTCGGTGTTGACAAGACTGGCCAAGTGCTTGCGTCGGCTCTATCTAAGTCCATCCTCTCCATCTCATCCGCTAGAAGTATTTAACAAGCACAGTGAACTTTACGGAAGTTATTACAGACTAATGTGTCTGTGACGAGGACGTCACCCCCCCCCACCCCCTCTCCACTGGGAGACGGCAGGCAGAAAGGCAGTGATGTGTTCATGTGAGAATATTAACAGCCAACTTGTTTGGAGACGCTCTTATCTAAATGAAATTGGAACAAGGACAGCGAAACATTCCTTTATATAATTTGCATTTAGAAAAAAAGGGGACCCTAGGCTCATTATTTAAGAAAGTGTAAGCTCCTTTTGTGCCAAATCTCATTAAAGCCATCCCTAGCTCCTTTGTTTACTGCCTCTAATCGAGGCATTTATCTTTATTGTGTTGCGCCCGATGTATGTTTGCTGAAATTAATACACGTTTGAGCCTGGGCGAGGTATGGGTCTACCAGATGGATAATTGATTTTAAAGTGAATCAGAACTGTTGAGCCATAAAATAGGTACATTAGCATGCATATTAATAAGGCAAATAAGAGCACTAAGAGGCCGCCGCCGCCAGGGCAGACACAATGGCAGGCTTCATTTAGTGAAATGGCAGGAAACATGCTGGGTTCTCCTCTTTCTTTCGTCTTTGTTCCCACTCTCTTGTTTGTATGCACATACTCAGGATTTCATGAGATAGTGACTTAATTCAGCATGTATCTTAATCCACTTCCCCCGACCCTTTCATATTCCCCTCTATAGCCCTCTCCTTATACACTCGGTGCACACATCTCACTGCAGGTTCTTCAGTTAGTAATGTGAAAGCCATTGTAATGCAGTACATCAGACGGAGGGAAGTGGTTTTGCCATTTCAGAAAATGTTGAAATAAGGGAGTATGAGGAGCTGCGGTATCTAAGCCAACAATTTCAGTTTGGCATTTATTCTGTTTTGACAGTAAGACAGTATCAAACACATAATATCCAATATTTTGCGGTCGGTGATGGCTTTCCATTGTATCATATCACAGTTATTTTCCGACCAAGCAAACAATGCAGGGTTGTGTGAAAGCTATCCATCTGTAACTTCCTGGTGATGACTTCTCATCAGCAGCTGATGGAGGATTTTATTTTTTTTCCATTTATTTATTTATTTCTCTGGTGTTGCCTCCGTCCTGCTTCATCCGCAGCAGGTTAAGGCTCCGCTCACCGCCTCTCTGAGTTGCATTTCTTTTTGTCTGCGAGAGAGGGGAGAGGGGTCTGGGAGAGGCATTTTCCCATTGGGTCAGGAATAAATTGAACTTTTTCATGGACAGCAAACACTGATTAGATATTTATGACCAAGGTCAACCTTTCTGATTCCAGCTGGCACAGGCTCTGAGGCATACAGAACAGAGCATCGACACACATGCTCACACGGACACACATGCGCGCACGTAGCCTGCACACACTCTCGCACACACTCAAATAATGCGTGCACGCAAAGTACGTTTTGATGCCTTCGTATTTACCGTAAGTCTGCGGTGTGTGTGTGTGTGTGTATAGAAGCAAAAGTTACAATTCAAATGTGACTACAGCCAATTATTATCACGCTAACATATACTTTTTCTAACAAGAATTGAGGACACAAAAACCTGAGAGAGATTTCGGAGGTCTGTTTCTGCGGTGAGAGAGTTATCAAGGTTGGCTCCAGTGACTCATTCCTGGCCTAAAGGACTTCCTCTTATTAGGCAATTTAGTCCCGACTTAAGGTTGAAGGTGATAACAGATAAAGACTGAGACATATACCATAATTACAGGGTTAATTATGTTTATATTACCTTCGATGGTGCTCAAATTCTCGCCAACTCTCACACAGGCTCACCCGCCCCCCACTCTTCTGAAATTTCTTTGCTTTGCTCGTGTCCTCGCTTCCTAGCTGCCTGCTCCCTCACACCCCGCTTCTCAATATGTCGCCCACAGCTGCTTCTGTCTGAAAACTGTCCTGCTAATTAACTGTCGGGGTCTGTGGTTGTAATAAGAATCATGACGGCAGATGAACAATACATCTGCTGCTCTTAAAATTTTTCTAATGACACCGGGTCCTCTTCTGGCCTCGTTGGAACTCTGCATCCATCCGGGGACAGCACAACTCCTAAACAAAGCCTGTGTCCTCACACAGGCTTTGACTTTGCTTTACAGATGGCAATTTGTAGTCACATTTCACATCCTCAGCAAGTTTTATACTCATTCAGTTTCTAGTCGTAGTTTAACACAGATATATGTGTTTATACTGTATGTAGCAGCTCTCTAAAATGTTGATATGACAGGTTATTAACTTTATTTACAAGAAATACGCCCTATAAAAAGGCCAGATCTACAATCAACACGTCACCAATTTTTTTTGTTAACCTCCAAAATTGATCATAAATATTTTCTGATGCTTTTAATTTGTTTACATCAGGCGGTCAGAGCCGTGGACAGCTTTAGGACCAGAGAGAGACTATTCAAGGCCAACTGCTGCCTCTAATATTACCAAATATTACAGAGACAACGACACAAACAACAACAACACATTAGATTAGAATTTGATACCGTGTATGTCTTCTATAATTCATTGCAACATTAGATGTACTAATGTTTATTTATCGGGTTTTAGAGACCCCTCATAACACATTTAGCACATGCTCACCATTTCCATAAAACACCGGTTGCCCTGGTAGCTCTTGAGAGACTTACTATAGATAACAAGTTAGTTTTAAATTTGGTTTTAATTAACCGTTAAACCTTGTGTCAACCAGTGAAACAACACAACAACACACGAATGAATTTCTTGCAGGAGGTGTAAATGAGGAGCAGCTATCGCTTCCTTGCCCACAGCATCCTTTTTAGCAAACTGCATCCGGCCACATTCACACCAACGTCATTTCAGTGCTGCAGCTATAAAGTGTTATTACATCGAGCTATAAAAAATGCCCGAGATCTTGTGGTTTAATAAAAACTAAGTATAAAATTAGACATTAAAGAATTTGGCACCAGGTTTTGATACCTGGCCCTAATAAAGATCTAACCACGGTGAAAGATGGGGATCAGTAAAAAAACTAAAATATAATAAATAAACTGCCTTGAGGCTCCTGTTGCAGTACCTTAAGTGTGTTAAAATATAATATAATTAAACAGGATATTGATCCATGAGGGGAAACTTGCTTTCAAAGGGATTGTGTAAAATATGTGCTGTAGGAAAAACAACAAGAGCAGCACAATTAAGATTATGGGGTGACGTAATTGTGATAGTTGACCATTGATTGAGAGTGAGGCTTGTTGTCAAACTGCACATACAGCCAATACAACTGAGTTAACAGTCTACCATTAACATTATGAGCCATGAAAACATGCTGCCTCTTTAGTAGGCTTAAAATAAATCACTTCTTGCTTATTGCAGTTTTGCTTTTTTTTTTTTTTTTCTCAAAACAAAGCAAGCACATAATACACACAATACTTTGCATATGAAAAGTACCGTTCCAAAATGTAATACTTAATCTGAACTATGTCAGGCTCATATTTAATGTGTGGATTATTGCAGTGTAATATTTGCTTATTCTGGAACTCCCAGGAGTTCTAAAGCCAGCCTTTCCAGATTTGCTTCCCCCCCTCGAAGTGGAGAAGTAGCTAAATCCCAGTGTTTGTCTGTGTGTGTCGGTATCACATCCGTTTCTAGTCGTTCTCTTCTCATCTCCTTTTAATCTCCTCCCTCTCTTTCAAAGGCTACCCAAATATTGTGGCAACGTACGGCCGCGGATACACTGGATTCGCACCCAGCTACAGCTACCAGTTCCCCGGTGAGTTAAAGGCTTTCTTCAGATATCAATGTTGCATCTGATCACACACACACACACAAACGCTCATCAATATACAAGTCAGTCACCAAATAATCTGCAGGGTTCCAAGTTTGTTACGTGTCTGGATTCCTCAACCGGGTTTTGAAAGCTGACGTATAGTGCAGTGAATTGCTTACTCCTTTGTATCCCACACTTGAACACGACCATGACCAAATGTCTAAAATGGGGGAAGCTCTTCGTCTCCTGTTGGCCCCCCGATGTATGCAAATTCATCTGTGGAGAAGGCGAGAAATAAGCCGCGCTTTGTGTCGGCAGATTTTTTTAAAACGTGGTTCTTATAATGGAAAATGAATGAAGTCATTTTCTGCATTAAAAGTGTTGACTCAGAGCACCGGGCTCTTTAATGGGAGGCGTGCAGTCTGGAGGTGAGCAGCTGTACCTGTCGGCTGCAACGGGGCCCGTGGCGCCTCGCAAATCCCGGCAATTTCATGCCTTATTTAAGGACTTTACACATACTTTGTTTGCCGTGCCAGACATCATTCCCTCCACTGATAAGACGGAATGGGAAATATCTGACAGCACCTCAGATCTCTGTAATATCTTCGTGAAATAGATTCAGGAATGGTAAGACAGGAGGTCCAGCTGTGACCACCTGCAGATCGGACACATGCTAGATTTATACCTGACCACAACGTTATTTGACAGAAGAAATGGAATAGCACCTGCTCATCAATGCGGGGGGGACGCCAGTCGCATACAAATGTGGGAGTTAAGCAATTATTGTCTGTTCATTTTTCAGAAAATGGAATAATTTGGAAGTACAATGACCCATTCTTTTGGTAACTGATTGATATGGATGTGAATCACGTGGCCAACACTGCTGTACATGATTGTTTTTGTGTGTAGCATACATCATGCCCTTCAGAATAAGTATTTATCCATCCCTCATGTTCAGTGAAAGTTTATGATTCACAAAAAGGGGAGAGAAGCGATTAAAAGGGAAAGGAGCGATCAGTATTTATTCAGTAGAAGTAATTCTAGTTAAACATGGATTTTTAAAATGTTTGCTGTTTAGGGCAAATTAAGGGATATCACCTTCCCCGAGGCGGAATGTATGATCCTGTCCATGTTAAACTCAATTTAAAGAGTTTGATAAAGCTGTATGATTAAAACAGCCTCCTCTGGGCTCGCTCAACTCTTGACAGGGTAATTGGAATTTTTTAATGTATGAATCAAACTCCTTTTCCAAATTAAATAACCTCGGGCCAAATATTGACTGGTGTCCTTCCTCACTAAGATGTGGAAAGCATTCTCAATTTGAGATCAAAGGCTTTTTTCCTCACTGTACAGAACCTCTGCTGAAACACTCCCATAAATAACTGGAGCTGAGGCCGGGCAGGCTGCATCCAAGAGGCGTAAATTGTGGGCAGCATTTCAAAGTTGTTTTTTTTTACACCCAGGAAAACCTCAGGGGTCCATTGTTAACAGGAAAAAAAGTGCTTAGGCAAGTGTCAAATTGTCAAGATAAAACAGTGATCAGTGATGAAGCACTGAATTAAGGAAGAAAACTCAATAAGATATACACAGAAGAAGAGAAACCAAAGCTGACATCCCTGCTGCTGAAACAGAGCTCGAGTGAAGGAAACGAGTGACGTGCACGCAGACATAGTTTAGAGACAGAAAAGAAAAAACAGCAATCAGTGAAGCCAGTTGGACTCAAAGCTGACACCAGCTCAACGGCTGTTAAACAGTATCTGACAACTTGCCACTTTGGTCCCTGTGACACTCCCAATTAATTCCAACATTGATCACAAAGTGCCTTTGATATCGATCGCGTGCAGTATGTGTCTGTGTTCGTGGGGCCGTGAGTTGCTTACAAAATGATTCCATCGTAGCACAGACATCATGACTATTTAATGCACTTAGGGACCTTCACATATTACGGATGTAAATCAGATCATCCTCTATCTGTCAAAAACTCGTCCATGCAGGCGAGCACATATCGGAGCATTTCCCTCAAAGGGCAAGCTCAGACGCTGGTATTTATCTGTATTTAAACTAGTATTTACTGTGAAACAACCGGGTACCTAAAACCAGAACTGAACACATGCCAACACATGTTTCTCTGACACAGTTATTAGTGCAGTTGCACATCGTAAACATTTGTATTCGTATATAGTATACGGACACTAATTCATGCCACACAACAATGGAGGTGGCAGGGTAAGACACATGGCACATCTGCTGACAGCGGAGAGCAGTAATGCAGTCGCAGTTGTTGTGCCAATAAAATAGGAGAAGAAGAATGCTGATGATAACAATGCAGATTTCACAACATTATAAAAATGCGAAAAGGGCTTTACAAATGTTTTCAGAGGTAGAAAGTACAACTAAACTGAATACAGTTCAGTTTGATAAGATGGAAACAAAACCGTGTTCGGTAGCAGAAGAACCGGCCTCAGAGCAACTTTAATTGCAGAACAAAAATGCAGGTGGCCTATGAAAATATGCGAAAATAAGCTGCAAGTTCAATAACATAATTACCATGAACTACATCATTAATCTACAAAATTGTGGTCACACTTATAGGGCAGAAATTTAGTTTTTCCACAAGTGCATAGAACTAATCCCGTCACACATTTGAGACATGTGTTTGTTTAGCTAATACAGAATGCATTCACACATACAGAGACACAACGAGGACTGAAGTGTTGGCTAAAGATGTCTCCTCTGATTTTTCCAAGCTGTATTTTATATGCGCCGCTGTAATCACACACTTGTTTACCTTCTGGCAGTGTCGTTACAGCATTATGCTCGAACTAAAGTCGGATATGAATTTCAAAGATGATGCTTCATACTGCGCGTGTAGTGACAATCAAGAAGGCAGCAGTGTTTTCCATAACCTCAGAACTCTAAATGGTAAGGTGGTGTAACAAATCATTAGCGACACCACGAGAACAAAAATATCTTGTTTTTGTTTTTTTTCCTTCCTCGTCAGAGCTTTTGCCATAGTGGATTTAATGACTTACTATGTTGAAGCTACACATTTCCCCTTCAGCTTCACATTGATTTGATGCACATATGGTCCAAGAGACTTGTAATGCAATGATGCACATTGTCAGCTATTGTCTGTCTGAAAAACCGCCAGGACATTTTTCTCAGATTGTGCTGTTGCACATCCAAGATTTTGATGGCAAGCAGTGGTATTGTCAGTGTCAAATGAAAACAGAGGGGACTGTAATGTATGCATGCAAATGTGATATGCGGGTGCTGTCACGTTCCAGTTTTCTGCGTGGATGCAAATATCCCCACTTTTAAGATGAAGACCCCTGGACTTGCTGTCGTCGTCGTGATTCGGAAAGAAAATAATGCTAATATTTCTGACACTTTCACTCTCGAGCTGCTGCCGAATCTCCATATTCATTTCCAGTCCCCTCAAGTAAGCTCACTTATGAATTGAGCGTCGTCTTTGCTTTAACCAGAAAAAAAAATTCCTCTGCACGCACTAAAAAGATGCACAAAAAAAAAAAAAAAAATGAACCCTGTGTCTCAGAGTAGTGTTAATCAAGCTGATTGACATATTTGCATAATTGAGGTTAACTTGCTGAAAAGGGGGGAACACAGTTAGCAACAGGCTAAACCCATCCTGCGCTAGCAGGCTACTTTAAAGGGTAGATTCGGTAAAATAACATTCCAAACATATTTCTCTCTCACTGTACATCTTCTGGTATCCAGCCATGCAGATCATTTTGGCTAGGTTGAAAGATGTCAGCCTCTGAGATGTACGCTACCACCCCGATGCAATAGAGGTGAGAGTTAAGTGAGAGCATGTCTTTGTTTGCGGGTTTGGGTGGACTGACCCGTTAACAGCTTGCCGTATCATATGCCGTTAAAGCAAAATGACAAAATTGTCAGGTATCCTGTACAACACTGTCAGGCAGCTTCAGAGTGATGTCGGGGTGGCACGTATTTGGGAATGCAGGTATCAGTATCACTTACGCTGAGCTAAGGAAGGTAGTTGACATGTCAGTCATGTGGCTTCATTTTCTGCTGTTGAACACACACACACACACACACACACAGCTGCCTGAGAACGTGCAGCTGTAGGATCATTGTGCGTCCCAGCTATTGTGACCTTGCTGCGATGTCATTCCAACCACAGACGAAATACTGCTTTTGAGAAACGTCCGCATTCGCTCAAAGAAAACTTGAAAGTAACATTCACTATGAACAACGTTTTTACTCTGCTCGTGCTGGATGGCAGCTGGGGCAAGAATCAAAGAACGCGAACGCAGCACGCAGAGCTCGACTTAAATTATCCGACTTCAGAGCTAACGTTTATCGGGCGACACAGAGCAAAAACCGTAATTGAAAGCATCTTTGAATCAAAAGGAGGTACAAAAGGACTTCCCTTTGATTCCTATCACACATTAAAGAGCGCGCCATTCCCGAGCTGCTGCCGTTGAGAACGGTTGGACAGAACTGATTTGTCAGATAGCTTCAAACGAGGAACATTCAAAAGTTTTGTTGAAATCAAAATCCTCGGCTCATGTTGTGGTGGTCGGAACGCGTCCGTCCTCGTTTTTGAGGTGACTGACGTCCGCTTCACTGCGTCTGGTGAATTTCTCTTTTAAACTTCAAGCGGCCATAATTGTTGCCACCTTTTTAAAGAAGCTGCATTCGTTTCCCGCTCTCCATGAATACATGGCGTGTCTGTTTTATTCATAAAATACATTAAGATTACGTGAAGTGATCAAACCGACAGTAAGATAATCATATTTTAATGTTTTTTTCTTCCTCTTCCTCTGTTTTTATACGGAGGTACCTCATGGATTAGATAGGATGCTGTTTCTTTTCTTACTTGAACCCGAAATGCAGCTGTGAGTATTGCTAGAAACCGAGAGAACAGGAGCTGACAAGGCATGGGGAACATTACTGTACAATATTCCCGTTTCTATGCAACCGTCTAATTAGCATTAGCGAGCTGATGAATGTGCTAT